CGTGTAAATACAAAATTAATAAATTTCGTTAAAGTTTTTATTTTCAAAACGGGGGTAGGTGTATGGCATAAGTACTATGACTAGTAAGGGTTAACATGAGAGCATTACAGAGTTATCACATTATCTCAACAATGTCATCACCAACTATAATTATCTACTTAATTTTGTTTTGACACTGGACTCTATGCAGTTATATGAACTATGACACTTGAACCAAACATAAAACATTACATCATCTGCTATCATATTCTCTTATAACTAAGTATCATAACTTTGCAATAGAACACTCTGAGATGCTGATACAGAACATTAAAACAGAATAATATTCATCGTTAAATATGCAATTTAAATAAAAGCATTATTTTGTGTCAATGTTTATAAAATTTGCATACAGATAAACAATATATTGGTTTTTAATCGATTTCAGAGATCAAGGTAAAAGTATGTCAGTAGTGACGCTTCAGTATTGAATGACAGGTCAAAAGTTCGAGGCAATGTTCAGTAATAAAAATAGCTTAAACAATGAATGAAGAATATTTTTATTTATATTAAGTAAACGGGAAATTTAAAAATGGTTAAGTAAAAAAAATGATAAAAAATATATGAATGCGAATAGAATTTAATGGCAAAATGAAACACTGTTGCGTGTAAAATATTATCATATTTTTAACTTCCCGTAGGGCAAGTTATAGTAATCGCGAAAAAATCGAAAATAAAATTTTTTATATATCTTTACGTTTTATAGGTTTCTGAATATTTTGGCATACCTTAGAAAAAATGGATGTATGCGTTTGGGTGTGTGTGGGTGTGTGTGGGTGTGGGTGCGTGTGTGTGTGTGTGTGTGTGTGTGTGTGTGCGGATACAAATTTTCGTCGACGATTTCGGGAACACTGATCAACCGATTTGAATAATTCAAAAAATATTCGATTCGTATTGATAAGAAGACGTGCTGATTAGTTTTTCGCGAAGGCAGGTCTAGCCATTTCGAAGATACGGGGCAAAAGGTGCCAAAAACGGTAACTCAGTTTTTAAGAGAACGGTGCGTTCGATTTGAATAATTCAAAAAACATTTTACTTGTATTGAGAAGATAAAGAATTGGTTAAATGTTCATGAAGGCAGGTCTAGCGGTTTCGGAGATCTAATGAAAAAAGTAAAAAAAAAGCCATTTGGCGGTCAAAAATGATCATTAGACGACATATGCACATCAAATCAGATATTTTATAGAGATTTTAACAATAAGTATATTTTTTTTACATTTCTATGGGTTCCGTACCAATGCTTATGCATTAGACGGCGGCGCGGCACTTGCGCGCTTTGACATTTCGTCTCTATGCAGTTCAAGCAATACGATTGCTTTGAAAAAAAGTTCAGAATTTCCAAAATATGTCAAAATGAAGAAAACATTTTTCTTTTCAAAAAAAATTTGTTTTCAAAAAAATTTTTTTTTTAAAAAAAGTAATTTTTTGTCAAATTCCTAGTTTCTCAAAAATCTAATTTTTTCGAAGTAATTTTTTTTCAAAAATGTTAATTGTTTTTAAAAAAATAATAATTTTTGGTACGGGAAATTTCAGCAATTTGCCTTAAGGCACGATGCCTTAATTGCCTTATGACAGAATTCTACTTACAGCTAGTTTATATATATATTTTTTTTAATAATTTTATTTGATCATCTATCTACAGGAGATATAAAATCAATTGCATGGCTTAGAATTTAACAAAGAAAGAAAAAGCTAAGATCTGCATCCAGTGATGCAGTTCTTTACAGTATGATACATAGATAGTTTATATTTTTCTACTCCAGTTTTGGTAAATTATAATGTAGAGTAAAGTTTTGAAAAATTGCAATACATTATATAATAACAACCGCAAAGCTCGTCCAACGTGCGAGGACTTGTATCAACGTGCAACAGACGCAACGAGTGTATTAAAAAAAAATGCGACTGTGTTGGGCACCAAGGCATCATACACATTCGAGGTCGTAGGCCATCCACCTATATAGGCATCCCTGCGGCCGACGTGTCGCGACGCGCGCCCGCGAATGAATTCTGTTTTCGTCAAGGTTACCAGACATAGACGCGCAGGATGTTGCCCCTTCGCAATAAGATCGGGGCTGGGAAAACAAGACGATGGTCGGCAAGCACTTTGCCATGGGGAATTGATCTCTATAATTTGTCAAGTCGATTTTCAGATTTAAACTAGCTGTAAGTGGAATTCTGTCTTAAGGCAATTAGGGCATCGTGCCTTAAGGCAAATTGCTTGAACTTCCCGTACCAAATATTATTATTTTTTTAAAAACAATCAACGTTTTTGAAAAAAAATTACTTTGAAAAAATAAGATTTTTGAGAAACTATAAATTGGACAAAAAATTACTTTTTTTTGGAAAAAAATGTTTAAAAAAAAAAATTATTTAATTTTTTTTTTTTAAAAAAAAAAAAAATTTCTTTATTTTGACATATTTTGGAAGATCTGAACTTTTTTTCAAAGCAATCGTACTGCTTTAACTGCGATTGAACACATACAATATAGGAGCGCAATATGTGCTCCTTTAATTTCTCGTTTATTAATATATTAGTATAATATTCTTTTATGCAATTTTAGTGTTCAATAAATTTTACAAAATTATTTTTTTCTGTTGTTTTTCCTGGTTTGATTACTGAATGATGACACACATCAAGTGTCGAAGCGTTTAATAGAATAAAAATATCCATTTAATATTTCATAATTCGACGATTGGGCTGAAAAAAATATTTCAAATATGTATCAACGTCGACAAAATTATTATATATATATATATATATATATATATATATATATATACATGTATATATATATATATATATATATATATATAAAATAATCATTTTCACAAACGTTTCGAGACTAGGTTGGTCTCATCATCAGTGTGTTATAATTTCAAATTTAAAATATGAAACCTAAATTAGCATTATGTGTTATCCGTTACACGTTTCACGTATTTCGAACAACGTGTAACGGATAACACATAATGCTAATTTAGGTTTTCAAACTTTTTGCACTTATTTATTAAATAATTTTAATTCTACAAACGTTTTGAGACTAGGTTTGTCTTATCTTAGTGTAATATAATTTCTAACAACCAAAATATTGATATATAGAAGTCCGTGCTAATGATTTCACCATCTTCTGCGTAGGGGTAATCATGTCGGGTCATGTGATTTTTTTTAACTTCCCGTAGGGTAAGTAAAAATAGTAATCGCAAAAAAATCGAAAATAAATTTTTTTATATATCTTTACGTTTCAAAACCTTCTGAACATTTTTGCATACCTTATGGATGTATGTGTGTGTGTAGGTGTTTGTAAGTGTGTGAGAGAGTGCGTGTGTGCGGATACCAATTTTCGTTGACGATTTCGGGAACACGGTTCAACCGATTTCAAATATTCAAAAAACACTCGATTGCTCTTGATAAGGAGACGTGCTGATTAGTTTTTGGCATAGCCGTTTTGAAGATACGGGGCAAAAAGTGCCACAAACGGTATCTCTTTTTTTAAGAGAATGGAGCGTCCGATTTTAATAATTTAAAAAACATTTTAACTTGTATTGACAAGATGAAAAACTGATTAAATTTTCATGAAGGCAAGTCTAGCGGTTTCGGAGAACTAGTGAAAAAAGTAAAAAAAATGCCATTTGTCGGTCAAAAATAGTCATTAGACATTTGCACACCAAATCATCAAATATTTTATAGAGATTTTAATGCAGTCAAAGCAGTACGATTGCTTTGAAAAAAAGTTCAAAATTTCCAAAACATTTTTTTCCAAAGATGTCTTATTTTTTTTCTAAAAAAGTACATTTTTGTCAAAAATTTATAGTTTCTCAAAAATCTAATTTTTCAAAGTAAAATTTTTTCAAAGATGTGAATCTTAAAAAAAAAAATAATTTTTGATACGGGAAGTTACAGCAATTTGCCTTAAGGCACGATGCCATGCGCCCCCCAATAGCTAAAGATATTTTTTTATTCTCTATTTTATTTACAACTGTCCAGTTAAGAACATTTAGTAAATTTTGGGAATTTGCAATTGTCAGCCGTGAAGGGACATTGTATACTATTTTGACATGTATACTATTTTGACAATATTTTATTGATAATGATATATTTTCTACTATTTACTTATAAATAATTTATTATAAATGATAAGTTATTTCAATCTTTATCAGGGAAATTGATGGACTTAGATCAAGTAGCGCTTTTCTTTTCAATCTACGTTGATAGTTCTCTGCTATTAAGGAGTTTGTTAGTGGATTTGGGTGACTGATGAGCTTGTTTCTATATTTCATGTGCTGTTCTTGTTATTAGATCTTTTATGGTAGGTGTATTCGTGTCGAGATGAATCAGATAGTTCGGTATATATTTTGGTGCTCCTAACAAAATTTAAAAAAATTTGTTCTGAAATTTCTGTAGTATTTCTATATTAGTTATAGCTATAGATACAATAAAAAACAGAAAAACTAAAAAATAGTTAAAAATACTGCAAAAGTTTTGTAAAATACATAATAGAGCATGATTTCTGGATAGGATAAAAATAGGGATTTATTAGCTATCCGAACAAAATATAGATTATTAATGATCGCACACACTAATCGAGCTCTCACTATTCCTTATTAGGTATATAAAATTCAAAATGTGACGGTCTTATTAAAAAAGATGTATTTAATAGAGACGTGAAAAACTCTACTCCGATTTTAAACGATACCGATTTTTTGTGAAAACAAAGATGATGCGATATATTACATGTTCGGAATCCAATTTAAAAACAATCGACGATTATTAAATATGTAAAACCCTGATTTGCACTATGTTCGTTAACTGTATTTGTGTGCGTCGGTATCCCTTCTACTCGTCAGATCATTGAGGCGTTGCAAGTCGGTGTTTCCCCACCAGGCACCAGATACTAAGCATGCAGTCTATCGTTCGACATCACCACGCGAGTACAGTTTGCTATTAAGTCTCAAGTAATTAGCATCGCGGATCGAGGATCGTCAGTTATTTAAATATTACGATATTACATGGTCTTGTGCAATATTACATTGTGTGGAAATAATTAAAACGTTCAAGTGAAATTAACATTTAAAACTATTTTTTATAAATTTTGTGTTTTGTGTGTGACATTGTGCACTGTCGTTGATAAACGACAAATTAAGTGAGTTTTGTAGAAATTCTACGAGTGCGACACACATTGGCTATTTATTTGGAAAACGTTAAATTAAAACCTTTAAAAATTGGTGAGTACTAAAAATAGTTGATCATCGTCATAGCGTAGCACATAGGTATTATGTGCTGTTGTTAGTTAATTCGTAGAGTTGTTTTCCCAGTAGGGACGCACGTGTGCCGCGAGCGCACACATTCTGTGACGCGCATGACGCCAATATACTCGTAATATATGTACTATCGTAGTAAACAAGATTTAATTGCTGTTTCAATGTTAAACGCAGTGATGATCGCTGCAACTTGACGCGTTTATTTCAATGACTTTATTAAATAACATGACTACCGAACACGTTTCATGTCGACGCATCGTGATCTCGAACATTTCAATTATCCGTAACGACGTCTTCAAAATCACATCCAGCGTTATTCTTATTCATCATACCTGAGTTGCGGATTTATATTATCTAGCAATTATTTCTTTCTCTTCAACGGATGTTACAGTTAGACGAGTAACTGTGTGCTATGTTACCAAATTTAAACATCCAAAGTCATCGGTACGCGTGCTTAACAATATCAAATCGAGGTCGTCACTAAATACGTTAGATTTCGAATGTAATTAATTCTAGTTTTCAAATTAATCTGCTGGATCTTCTGTAAGTGACTAGTAATCCTCATTGGAGGGTTATCTACCATGCCAACTTTTATACTCAAGTGCAACACTACTTGAGTTAATATTGAACCAAACAGCCATAGAACAACAATATGTTCTGAATGCTGTTAAATAATGTTAAAAAAAAAAAAAAAAAAAAAAAAAAAAAAATTAATCTGCTGTATATTTTGACCTATGGATTATGTCCGTGGAATGCCCTACTTATGCCCTTCATGATAAAAAATACTAGCACACACTTTACATTTTTTCTATGAAAAGTTCTAATATTTGAATGCCAATCTAGTTGGCAAATTTACCATTACACATCGCATGAGTCATTTTATCAGGAAAACCACATGACGGTGAATGCGCAGCGCCAAAAAGCACAAGTACAAGTTATGGATGTTTCTGAACTTTGTGGAAATAGATTTTCCAAAGCAATTCAATTACTTTTGCCAAAAATTTTCTAGAACAATATAGTTGATAATTATCGATCACGGAAGTGGTATCACATTTACATTTCGTATAGTTGAATTCGATCTATTTAAAATACGTTTTTGGGTCAAGGAACTTCGTAGCAAGTGTAAATTTCAAAATGTTATCAAACACGATATATGTTCTAGCAGACCACGTAACTTGATCTTGGAATATTTCGGGTAGCGAAAGTTCTCGTTTTGAAGAATAATAACTTGATTAGTTATTTGATGGAGGACATGAAGCGGAAGTGAAATAAATAAATTTTATGGATTTTGTATTATTAGTATTATTTTTATGTTCTTCCGTGTTCAACTGCCAAGCTTGTAGTAATTTCATTGCCTTTGTACAACGACATATTTTGAAGAAATCCATAGAATCAATTCCAATAAAGAGGTTTTGGTGGGTGACTTATTGATCCAAAGGTCGTGATAATTGCGACTTGCTCTGACTTGCTAAATATTAAGGCAGGAATTTTCCTAGATATTAGTCTTCTTAATTATTATAAGGAAGTAATCTTGAAAATGGGATAATACGCCTGGTGCATCGAACTTTCCGTGCAGACGTCAAGTTAACTTTGCTCTAGAAATCATACAAAATCAAAAGCAATAGTCGGTCTTCCATCATGTCTGCGATTTCAATTCGTGCAATACTCTATGTTTTTGCACTTGACTAATAGCGGTTCTATGAAGTAATATAATAATACATAAAGTCAGAAACCATTCAAATCGCTTGTCCTTGTACAGAACAGTGAAGTATGCCAACGAATACACGCTCAGCCACGTGCGCATAGTGCTACGCCAGTTTGTATTCGTGTTTTGGCCTCATTATCTAATTTTAACTTATGTCATACTTTATATTATAGTTTGTAATGAAACCGTTGTGTTACATAATTTTAAAAGAGTGTTAGTATTAGTATCGTTCGAGTAACGCGCGCGATACAGGTAAAAAACGATAGACGAATGTGCCAAAAGCAATTCAAATCGAATTAATTTTGTAACGTGCAAGTGGGGAGACTTATTTCGTTGTCTGTAAGTTGACCTAAACTTCTGCAATTGAGTAATTTGAATAATACAATTTTTACTGTAAATACGAATACAGAGTATTTGCAAAATCGAAAATTCCACATAGTTTTCGAAATTCCCACGCGAAATTGTCGCACCAGAGCATTTGAAAATCACCAGAAAAAGAGAGCATTTAAAGATCGTTGCAAAAAATCACCTGAAGAAAAAATAGAGCATTTAAAAATTATTGCAAAAATTAATTGAAATTGTTAATGTAATCATGCAGAATAACTAATAAAGCTTTAAATATTGCAAACAAACATTAAATTGAAAAAATGTATATTTGTAATGTAATAATGCGAAATTTTCTTACCAGAGAAAAATACAGCATTTAGAAATCAGTGCAAAGATTCACCAAAGGAAAAAATGAGTATTTAAAAACTATTGCAAAAATTAGTTGAAACTGATATAGAATTATATCATGATAATTAAATTATATATATATATATATATATATATATATATATATATATATATATACTCTTTTGTATATATAGCGAACTTTCCCCAATATAGCACATATTACAATCGTTACAGTCAAGCCTATAAACCGAATCAGTAATTCTATCATCTGGTTAATATAAGATATACATTGTATTTATGAGTAGGGTAGTGCATAAAGAAAAAAATACATTATTATTTGAACATATAGGTTTGGAAAGAAAATTTAGTTAATAAACTTTACCATTATTTCGCATAAATAGTTGTTGATGTCTACTATAAAATATGTGCGCAAATATGTTTTTATTATTGTGTGGATGTTTTTCTCTTCGCCAATACACGCGGAGTAATTTTCAATTATGACCGTTTTTGCAAACGTATAACCTCGAGTTTATTTTAAATGTGGAATAATTTATTTAATCATTAGCTGAAAATCAATATTTCGACCTATATGCGACTCTAATAAGAAAGTCATAATTTCATGCAATCGTAACTGTATTGAGTAATGAATAAGTTCTTCCACAATATGGCATTGAGTTTGGTTACAAAAATAATTCTGTACACATCTGGATTAATAACAAAATGCTTGGAAATCCAGACTTACGTGACAGAATGATTTTTTTGCAAGATCGGAGTTGCAGATATAATACTTTGTATGGCTCATGAGAAGAATATGTGACATTTTGCATCAAAATAAAGCAAGCCTTCGAGGTTTTTAGTTTTAATTACAAATGGGAAAATACAAAACAATTGTTCATGACAATAATTTTCGGAATTTTCTCGCTACTACGCAGTGAGTGACATATTATTGGATGCTATTAACCGAAAATATACCGCGGCCATGCACATGCACGCGCATTGTTCGCCTCGCACAAATATGTCTTTCCTGCGAATTCTGTTGCAGAAATGCACTGAAACACATCTTTGTTTTTCGTTATGATTTATTACAAGATATTTACTTGCGCATAATAATAATGGTTAGCACGTATGTGTTCTTAATGCGCAACATACAGACTTTGGTCTGACGTAATAATGAGTTGTTTTGATCAACAAGACTCCTGGGCTAAACGCGCACTCATCGGAAAATTTCATTCTTATATTTTATAGTTCACAATAATAAGAGATACAAGAAAACAATTAAACGATTACGGAATATCGACGTGAAATCGGTATCACGACAGATAAACAACGACGACAAAGTGAATCATTTATTCGGAAGTTAAATGAAGACTCCATTCTACTCTCCTCTCCATTCTAATTTTTTTTTTTCTATTCTAACTCATTTCTTTTATCTCTTTTCGTGTAAAAATATCTTTTAAAATTTCATTGTATCTTGACTGGTAGGAAAAAAAACAAAAATAAATTTCAATTCATAAAAATTAAAATATTAGACATCAAGTTTTTCTTACATTCATAAAAATTAAAATATTATAAGACATCAGGTTTTTCTTATGGCTTTATTACATAGACCTTATACTACATGGACTGCAAGTCGAGAGCAAAATAAGTGAACAAAGATAGAAGAGAACTGTGACGTCACTGAATGAACGAGCATTGCCGACAATCGTGAAATACTCCCGATTGATAAATATCGTATGTCATACGTCTATTACCATATAGCAATCAACGTGATTCATGGGATTAGTGTCATTGTATTGACAAATACATAAAAATTGATTAAAAAATTATATCTCATGAAATACAAAATTGATTGAAAAATATTAAGAGGTGATTTAAAAATTTGTTATAAAAAAATGTGATGACTATATACACTATGTTGATAATGTAATGAAGGGGATAAAATTAACTTTACAATGAGCCATGTCAGACATATATATCTGACATACGCGCTTTGGTGATGGAGATAAAAAGTTTAAGGCCATGTCAGTAGTATATGTGTGACATGAAAAATAGCGTTTTCCAGGAATTTTGTCAAAAAAGAATTGTCTTTGACACATTAAGTTTCCTTGATATATTTTTAACCAAATTATCGAATAAAGTTACCATGTCCCATGTGAAATTTTTTCTTATCCTATCGTGGCAATTAACGTCTTAAAGAATTTTTTATCTGTACGAAATGTCGCGCGTACTCGAGATAGTCAACAACACAAATTAAACTTGTAATATTGCATAATATGATGTGTGCCTCTGCTAAATTACGCTACTCTGTGTTTATCAATTTGTAATATGCCATAAGTATTACATCATTCATCCATTCACGATGGGATTTCCCAAACTGAAATCTGCATTATTAGAAAATTAACTTGGAATTTGATAATAGCAAATGATTGCATTACACTATGTGACATTGTAATTGGCTCCCTCGTGGCCTAGTAGTTAGAGCTATGGACTTGGAATCGGAGGTTCCAGGCTCGATACTCGGGCAGGGGGCAGCTTGATATCAAGCAGTGGCATAGGTTTTTATTTGAAAATATAGATAGCAATATGTTCATTAGATATCAATAAAAAACATCATTATTATAGACATTGTGATGATAAATTCGACAATAGGATAACTGAGCCATTTATAAAAAAAACAAGTCTTTTAAGAAGTCTACACTACAGCTCATAGAACTCGTTATATGTAAAAAATATATTATACTATATACAAAAAAATATAATTATTAACTTTTCTACTGTTTTGAGTATTACATTAAAATACCATTAATCCATTCAAGTCATTCAAATTATAAATTTTTAATACAGCAAGTTTAAAATGTAATTTTGCAAGTTGAGCAATAAAAAATTAGCTATATATACATATACATATATATACATATATTATATTTATATTATATATATATATATATATATATACAGGGTGTCCCAGAACTTAACGCCAACCGAAACAGGGTGATTGGGATCTTGAAAAAAATATTTATATCTCACGTTGTTTTGAAATTATGAGCTTTTTAGTGCAAACTAGAGCTTTGGAGAAATTATCATAATTTTTCGGTAATTATGGCTAATCTTTATTAATTTTGTTTACCTAAAGATTGGAACCTTAACGTGAATAACACATTGCCCCAAGTTAATTTAAAAAATTTAAAATCGGTCGATTCTGTGATGCACTCTATTTTTAATCAGGATTGTAAAATGGTAAAATACTTGATAATTTTATTATTAAAAAATTTCGAATATAAAATAAAAACCTAATGTTAAACATCAAATTGTAATGCAGTTAATTTTATTATAAATTTTTTAATAGTTTTTATTTCTTATGACCTTCCTCAATAAAAATATCTCGGGGCTAAGTTTGAGAACCTCTGATACCTGAAATTGACCTAGACATTCCGCTGTGTAAACGCAATTTTGCGTTATAAAACCTATTGACGATATAACTGCACTAAATAAATATTTTCATAACACAATTTAAAAACGTTGTTTGTGTTACAATTGCAACTCTGAATTATTTGCTTTTTTGTCATTGCGCATATTAAAATAATCTTTTTTATAATCCATGGTAATTTTATTTGTGCCTTGTGCTATAATTAGATCAATTGACGACATGGTTAAAGATTGTATTTATATAATCAATAAGTTTTATATACACTTTATGCCTTCCGTCACATAAAGACGGATCCGTGAAGCCGTTAGAATACAATTTACAATATATCCGCTCATATCGCCCGTATATTTCTCTTACTCTATTTAACATACATTTCAAGAACAGTTAATATTTGATGCACTTGAAATGTTTGACAAAAGGCTATATTTTGATTAACACGTTAATCGCCACGATATTAGAAAAAAATCACATGGACCATGGTAACTTTAGAAAATTTAGTTAAAAATGGATAAAGAAAACTTAATGTATCAAAGATTTTTTTTTTGCCAAAATGGATAAAGAAAACTTAATGTATCAAAGATTTTTTTTGCCAAAATGGATAAAGGAAACTTAATGTATTAAAGAATATCCACAATTCCTGGAAAACGATGTTTTTCATGGCCCTATATTAAAACTTTTATTTCTTCTACCAAATTGGGTGTGTAAAACATGGCTCCTGTAGAATTTCTCAGCGTCAGACACATATGACTGACATGGAGCTAAACGTGTTCATATGAATATAGCTATAAAACAGCTATATATAACAATTGTTTTGTATTGAATAGTATTCAATTATTCAATACTCAATTAAAATTTCTTTGCTAACAGTTACTACAAATAACGCTAATTGCAACTTCCAAATATTCGTCTTTGCAATGACACAGTTATATTCAATGTGAAAAGATTAAGACAAACTTAATTCCGTGTGGACTAGTTCTCAAATTCATGTTATAGAAAGTTGACGTCAATTACAACCAAAACATAGAATGAAAGTTTATAAATATTCCAATAGAGACGTTGTTAATGAAATTTATAATTGATAAGGAACTGAAATTTACTAAACAATGAATGAAATTGTAATTCAACCGTTTAGTGAAATTAAAATTATAAATATTATATCACAAACTCAACAGGATGTTTTGTTAATGCCCTCGCATTAAAAATCTCTTAATAGTCATAATCAGTGGAAATAAAACTGTCTGCCACCCATGTTTGGTACGAAAGTACATCTTGAATAAATGGCAATTGAAAAACCCGAGTGGTGATCTGCATTTGCTTTTCCAGATGATTCCAGTCGTTAGGCTGCACAACTCGTCAGTTTCCATTTGTCCCTAAGACCAAACTGTAATTCATCGCAAACCCATTGAATTATATTAAAAATTCGTTTATTGCGGTTCCGAGAGCGCAATTCTGTGTCAGTAGTGTGTTAAAAGCAGAAGGCAATAACCATGACATCCGAGATATAAGTGGAACTCCTAACGGTACTCTAAGCGCGCTGTTCACAAGCACATCACCAACACAATGAAAAACGCAATGGGCTAACTGACCTACTATGCGAACACTGTATTTAAATCTCTCTCTGTTCGATAGACCAAAGTTTCTTCAGAGTTTCTTTCATAATACTATTTCAGATCAAATTCACAACTAATAGGTACAATCGGTCCTCATGGTACAGGCGAAAAAACAAATGCAAAATGTTAAATCAATCAATTCAATATTTTGTGCTTAATTCCTTGCATTTTACGGCATCATTGAAACCCACACTTTTTTCAGAACATTTCTGAACAACCATCAATCAATTCAAATCGCATCTAACGGTCTGTAACTACCGTACCGTAATATTTAATAATGATAAATTTTATTTATTAATTGTGCATGATGTTCTTTTTCGAATTTTACGAATCGATTTATTGATGTATTTTCTTTGATTTTCAGATGTGTTAAGACAACACATGATGGTGGCGGAATTCGTCGCCAGACAGCAGAGTGCTTCCCCCGTGAACGGAGAGACCGCGCACAGCCACAACGCGGCCGGCAACATGACAGACTCGCACGGCCACTCGCACAGCCACAGCCACTCGCACATCCCGGTGGGCTACGTCCACGACGGCGGATCACCAGGATCCCCAGGCTCCGATTCCTTCAGCCACCAGAACGGACAATACGACATGGCCGCTCATCTCAAACGCAAAGAACTATTCTCACAGCGCAAACAACGCGAATTTATTCCCGATAACAAAAAGGACGACAGCTATTGGGATAGGCGGCGTCGCAACAACGAGGCGGCCAAGAGGTCCCGTGAGAAGCGAAGATTCAATGACATGATCTTAGAACAACGTGTTGTAGAATTGAGCAAAGAAAACCACGTCCTCAAGGCACAATTAGATGCCATCAAAGATAAATATAACATATGCGGCGAAAGTGTGATCAGCGTCGACCAAGTTCTAGCCACACTGCCGTCCAACGAGCAAGTATTGAGTATAACAAAACGCGCAAAATTGTCAAATGCCGCTAACGGTGGTGGCCAACAACTTCTCTACCCTCAAAGTCCAAGTCCAGCAGGTCCCACGCATCCAAACGCTGCCATGGGTTTCCAATCAACCAGTCCGGCGCTAAGTGTTATAAATCAAAGCGCTTACCGTGGGTTAGAAAGCGAGCAAGAACTTTTTGTGACGTCTCCCGTCGCACATTATCCATACGAGGCCGCCTCCAGTGCCTTGAATCTGTCTCGAAGGGCTCCTTCGCCCTACGAGGTGTCAAGTGGGTCAGGTGACGAGGCACATTCCATGTTAGCCGAACCCAATAATAGTTTACCACTTAAATTACGTCACAAGTCTCATCTGGGAGACAAAGACGCAGCAAGTGCTTTACTGGCTCTGCAGCATATTAAGCAAGAGCCAGGAGCGCGCTGCAGTCCGCCATGGGACACGGAAGGCTCTAGTGATGAACGTGATTCGGGCATATCCTTGGGAGGCGAATGGGCACTCAGGACTAGACAGCGTGACCAGCCCAGTACTCTTCCACCTGTCATAGATGCAGATGATGATGAGGGACATCTTAAAAGCGAATTGGCTCGCCTTGCTTCTGAGGTGGCCACGCTTAAAAGCATGATAAACAGCAACAAACCCAATGTCGAATGACCATTGCTGAACTAAATCGTCATACCTTGCAGCTTGAATTTACGATCATCATCTGGCCACTGCATATTCAGCCTCTAAATTTATCTTACCGTGTAGTTTATAAAGAATATTTATATACAGTTGTCTATATGTAAGTTTGTATTTATTAAAAATTAACATAGTCATTGGAATGAATAGGATCATCATATAAGTATGAGATGTAGTTGAGAAGATACTAACAATATTGCCTTAAGTATGGACAGTTTTAAAGGCAACTGTTAAAAAGTGATTTTATATTTACCTAATTAAGTTTTATTTATTTTATGTGATTATTTATCAACACGAAACATTTGAAATTTCGTATGTAATGAATAAGTTAATTATATTCTTAATGTTATTGCAATTAAGGACAGCTGGATACTTTTCATTAATTCTAAAGACAATAATAAGACTAATGAAAAGACGTTTGAAACCTGTGCTTATGACGAGAACTACAACTACTAAAGTATATGACATCGCACTATGTGTTTTTGATGAATAATATTATTACATTTTTATTTATGTTACCTTTTATTACCGCTGGCGGTCGGGTTTCATTTTGAGAAGCTTTGGTTGACTGAGTATTAATGAAAAGCATACAACTGTCCTTTTTAGGTTCACATGATAAAAACAGTTAAAATAGAAGTGATTGATTTATTTTCCCAGTTTGTGATTTGATTTGAAAGTTCCATCGTACTGCTTTTTAATAAAGCGGATTGTGAGTTTACTCCTTAGCAGTGTAAAATATATATAATTTGATATAGATATTATATTAGTTTCCAATCAATGACTGTTATAAATTGACAATCGCACATATACCAAAAGAAACGAGTAGATTTCGCAATCATTCACAGTCAAGAAAAGTCAGAGGGGAATTGTACCAAGTTATAAATTCACGAAATGTTTATTTGTTTTCAATACGAGTGATTTCTTTATTGTTATTTTGTTCTGAACGAAATGGACGTTTGATTACGCTTGGCGTATTTTACACATGGTGTAAAAATAAGTTTTTCTAAAGAAAATGTGTTACCTTACTTATTAGGGCAATGGCTCTATACGTTATTATGATAAAATGAAATCACACTATGTTAGAGTTATAATCAAAATAAATATATGCTTCTTATTTATGTACATATATTCACATCATGTGAAATATATTTAAAAATTATACTATATATGTATACATATATACATATATATGTACATGTATGTATATATGTATACATTAAATAAATATACATAAACAAATATATGCCTGCATGTGTGCGTGCGTATTTGATAGAATATATAAACATATATACATATAAATCACTGTGAACCTGCCTTGATACTAAAATATAGTTATTTTGTACTGTATCCTATATAATATAAATCTATGAAAACTTTTATTTGAACAATAAAGGATATTATTCTATGAGCATGTTTGGTTATTCATGGAAAAGAAATTGAATTACAGAAAATACACTCGCAGACATCTCAATAACATACTTTGTACTTCCTTAGCAATAATTTTCAGCAGAAATTTTCATATCAATTTCATTCAGTATAATATGAATATTAATTATATATATAATAAACATACCTTTATTTTTAAACAAATTTTTGAGAACACATGTATTAAATGTTCAAAATCACTTGGACACAAATTAAGCACTAAAAGTTTGTTTTATTACTTTGACAGTTTTAAACAACATACACAATTTGCACAAATATACTTAAAAATCGTCAAACAAGCGAATATAAGTTGTCGCTCAGGAATTTTTTTAATTAAAAGTGAAATGATGGGATATATATATGAAGATTACTCAAAAAATATTATAAATGAATTAAGTACTAAGGTGTATAGATTTTTAACACGTGCTTTTAAGAGGTTAGGGAAGTTAGGTTATCACTGAGTTTGTTTTTTGTAACAGAGGATTTTAATCGTTGTGATCAATGTACATGATATAATTTTTTGTGCAAATTATTTATGTATGACTACATGTTCAATTAAATCATTTCTACTTTATTAATTTTCTATGAATTTAACATAGCATCGGTAACCATCATCAAAGTGTTGATACAGAAGAATTATCATATCACATTTTTGTATTGTTATGTTGTCTGTCTTCAGAACATGGTGAACCAGGGGTGTCAAACTCATTGACAGTTTTGAATTTGTTGGCGCGCCGGTTTGAAAATAAACTGGTGTAACATTTTATGCTTTTTACATTTTATTCGCAATAGTAATGATGAAATTAATGATGACTTAATGATAATCAAGATTTAGTAATCTAGATAAAATTTTCAACTATTTATTACTTTTACTAAACGAGGCTATCTTCACATGGAAAGATTATTGTTATCGGAAGAAGACTAGGAAATTGATTAGGTATAAAATTTAAAAAGTATGTTTTTTCATAATAAATACAATTAGGGAATGCAATACCGATGGAAAATTTAAATACCGGTATTTCGGTATTTTTTCATTTTAAAACCGGAATACCGGTAATTACCGGTATTTTTATTATCTTAAACAAACGTAAACAAAATTAAAAGTTACTAGTACAAATATAAAAAAATGTATATACAACTACAACTATATTCAACTAAATAAAATAAAACAAATTTATTTTTTTAAATAATAATTTAACAAAAGTATATATATTAAATTAAATCATTTTCACTGTCGAGTATATTGAGTACTTTTCACCAAAAACAAACTTATGAGTAAGAAAGACCAAAAACTCATAAAAGATCATATTGCATTTTTATAATAAAGTGTATTGTTTGTATCCGATGTGTTAAATTAGCACAATCTTAAATATTTTAAAAAAATAATTTTTCAACAATAATTTAAGATTGGATTCTTTGTCGAGTTAAATAATAGGTTACTATAATTGTTGAGTATCGTTATTTAAAACAATGTGATGCTTCTATAGTATTTTCAAACTTTGAAACATTTTCGAAAAATAATATTTTATATTTGTAATAAGAAGCAAAAATATTTAGTAATTATCATAATTATTATGAATAAAGTTAGAAAAAAATAAAGATTACGCAAGGGTAATCTGTATGATATAAAATATTTTGGTGCAAATATCACCTAAAAAACTGTTACATTTTTACAAAAGATGAAACAAACATCATTATCTATCAGTCCAATTCTATTTATTGTAACACGATATGAAGCCCTTTGAAAAGCAATAAATATTCAGTTTAATGACGAGTTGAGATAATATTTGACATTTGTTTATCATATAGAATCACTTGAAGATATAGCTGTTTATGAGATTATGGAATTTAAAGACAAATTTGTTCCGAGAAATTTAAACTTTAGGGTATTATGTATCAAATAGCGCTAATGTAAAAAATACCGAACATACCGGTATTATGGAATAAATACCGGTAAAATTACCGCCGAAAAATCGCACGGTTTACCGGTAATTCGGTATACCGGTATACCGGAATTGCATTCCCTAAATAAAATCAACCATTTATTACATAAAGCCCAAATTAATGATCATTGATTAATGATGATTCTTAAGGCAGCCCAGGGGCCCGCGGGCCGTATGTTTCACATATCTGACCTAGAAGGTTATGTTGACACAATTTGACATCTCTCAAAGTGACAGCAGTTGTGCAATGTAAATAATTTTAGTATTGGAAACATCAGAGTGGCTCCTAAATAATATCTGAAGGATTTACGAAGTAAAAAGGTATTTGTTTTGTATATAAATACTGCAGATAAAACAATTCTTATTGGAAATCTAGTTGTAAAAGTTATCCTATCCTTTCTCTGGCAAATGATTTAACATTTGTGCATATACTTTACTTACTTTTATTAACTCAATAGAGATTTATAAATAATAATAATTATTAAAGCAATAATCTTTTGTTTGTATTATTGTAGCGTGAGAACGATTAAACATGTATAAAAAGCTTATTTGTAGTCAGCATACTATTTTGTCGACAAGGTACTACTAATAAAATGCAATATTACCATTGATTAAAAAGGTTGATGGTATTGCAAACACAGTTACTGTAAATAAAGAAAATAAAAAGATACAAAACCTTTGAAGTGTCTACAATAAGAAGGTGAACAAGGTATTAAATAATTTTAACAACTTCACATTAAAAGAAAAATACTTACAATTGATTTAATATGGTTGCATTAATATCATTGTAAAAGTATATTATTGCAGAGAGAAATGTCTATGTCTGCACAGACAATGTTTACAAGCCACAGAGCTGTGATATTTCAATATGTATTGTTGTGAAAGCGGTTAAACGATTAAATGATTAAACATGTATAAAGAGTATCCCTGTTATTGATCAGTCATACCATAATAAAAATCAGCAAACCTTCGAAGCGTCTACAATAAGGAGGTAAACAAGGTATTAAATCATTTTACTAACTCCACATTATAAGAAAAATATTGACAATCTTTTTATATGGTTTTTGCAAATTCTAACAGTATATTATTACAGATAGAAACCTTTATGTCGGCACAGGCATTGTCTACAAGCCACAGCTGTAATACTTCAACATGCTGTGATAGTTCAACATGTGTTGATGTGAAAACGGTGAAATGTTTAAATGGTTAAACAGAATGAGAATGCTCTGATATAGGACCAGGAGAACACTCCAAGGACAAGGCCAAGTAATTATAATTCTAAATACTTCAATACCATTTGCAAAAAATATTAGTAAACGAATCTTATGTTCTTAGTTAGGAGATAAAAGCCTAAAAACCTTGAAAAAGATTTTTGCAGTACCCCTAAGATTGTCAAGTGCAGGTTAAAAGTTGCCTATTCTGACACCAGTTTTCCGCAAAGGTATTTTTCATAATAATTGCAGCAAAAATAATTAATTAATCAAATATGATATAACAATATGTTCAATAGAAGTCCTTGGTGGTAGCTGCGAATTGCTGCAGAATGCAGTAATAAGGCGTAGGAGTGCATTAATAATTTGCACCAAAAATTATGTCATGTACCCATAGATAAAGGAAGAGTTTACGTTTACATTTACAATAAGGAGGTGGAGAAATAGGTTTTAGGTAAGTTTATTAACTCCACATTATAAGGAAAATATTAACAAATGTTTTAATATGATTGATTGCGAGGGTTGCATTGATTTCAATTTAACAATATGTTATAGAGAGAAACTTCTATGTCTGCACAGGCAATGACTACTGTGGTATTTCAACATGCTCAAATTTCTAGATGAAGAATCTTTTTAACAATTACCTATTTCCACATTTTTTATTAAAAAATTACAATATAATAAATAACATTTCTATAATAATTATGATAATGAATGTTTAAAAGCAATATGGAAAATATAACTGATCTTCAATTTTTTTTTCGGTTATGTTTTCCATATTACTTGTAAGATTCATTATCATCATCGTTTTAGAAATATGTTATTATTTATTATTTTATCTTATAATTTTGTTATTGCAGCACTGAAGATGGATCAAAGCAAGACTCGAAACTTATGCTATTCTAATGAAGACTTTCTTCATTCAATTTTTTTTATTATTGGTTGGGTGCCCAAAAATTTTATCATATTTCTTTCACCATCTGAAAAAACCTCATGCTTTGAATATATATATATATATATATATATATATATATATATATTAAATAAAATAGTATGCTATATATAAAGTAATATATTATATAATCATTATTATATTTTCCAACAGGTTGATGACTCGCTGAGATGCCTACACCTCTTCATTCCGATGTAAGGAACAAAGCATGATAAAGTACCGAAAAAAATGAATAAATACTTTGATTTTAAATGGGTGAAAAGCGGAAGGAAAGGTCGTGATAACAAAAATGATAGGAATGCAATAAGTAGAAAACTTCTATGCAGATTTCATGCAGAGAGAACTAGCAATTAAGTTAATGTAGTATGTAATCTTTTATGGTAATACTATTTCTCTCTAAAAATTATAATGAATTTATCATTAAATGATATTTTGCATTTGAGTTGTTCTCATTTCCAATATTGTTTAATACCACAGAATGTTTTATGCACTTTCAGGGTACTATATATATGTTGAGTTTTTATATATGTTTTTGATGTTAAAATATGAGTAGCATAATCTTTAGGGCAATTTATCAAACAAAAAGTTGTAGAAGTTTATAAAATCTTCATTAAATAGCCAAATGTTTTAATATTATTTTATATCATTTTCAGTGGAATTTAAAAAAGCTCTCAAATACTCCAATTATTCACTAAATATATTATGTTTTGTAGTTAATGAACAATTTATGTAGTGAATAATTGGAGTATTGAAAAGCAAAATTCTTCAAAATCTAATATAAAATAATATATCGACATGTTTGGCTGTTTAATGATTTTATAAACTTCCACAATTTTTTGTTTGATGTACTGCCTTGAAAATTTTGCCATATATATATACATATTTGAAGAAATGTACGACGGTGACATATTGTTCACTGAGGCCCCAATGCCATAGTCCAATTAAATATAAAATTTTTTGTATATAGTGTTTTGGGCTACTCTCCTTTTGGGGGCACAAACTTTTATGCAATATAATTCAACATTGCTATCCCTAAAACTTGAGATCTTAAGCATAAACCCTAGCATTCTTTTCTCGCCTTCTAAAAACACCTGTAATTGCCAGTGGGGGATAGTAGCAGTACAAATGAAATCGGAATTACCATTGTAAATAAGCCTATTCAATAAATAATTTATCTATTTACAACTATTTGTGGAACATGATTGCACTTGCATACAGCCATGTTCTTTAACTAATATTTGTTATTCTTTTTTTTACACTATTATATGGGGGAATATCTACAGCTAATAATAAGAAATCTGACCTTCAAACTGGACTTGTCTTCTTGTAAATGGTATTCTACACTCACAATTACAACTAAACTATGGGTCCCACCAGGTTGTCATTCGTAGGACACGTTGGACCTCTAAAGCGGACTCTGAAAGACTGACTCACTGACTTCCTGGACCTCAAGAACTTGTATCAAGTGGAAATAAGTAGAGGGTGGGGGCGGTGCAGCCTGGATTTTGAAACCTTTTAAGCAACGATACAAATTGCCACTATAATACTGAAATAAGTAAATACACTATAGTGTACACCATGTTAAGATTTGGACCAAAATTGTTGAGATATTTAACATAAAATGATTAAAGCTGACAACATTGTATGCTCATTTATAGGGACTTTGATGTTTTGTTACAAATTTCCAGAGTATTCAACAAAATTTATAATTCATAATTGTTTTTTTTTTTTGTTGGTCTTTGAACAGCAATCTCCATTGGTAGTCCTTCTCTAATTGCCCGCTATTTTTACTTGCAAACTATTGATATATTATCCAGTGAAAATAGACATCATCACTGTTTCCTTTCAGGTTACACACAACCTGGGATTCAACATTGAAACCTTATGGTAGCAACCTAAAATTGAAAATTAGCATAATAAAATAAAATCTTGACAATAATATTTATTTTCATGAAAGAGTTTGACATGAGAGCTATAACATACAAGCAAAGTCCAAATTTCTATGGTTATAAATAGGTCTTAATAAATAAACAATGAAGTAGAGTATCAAGTCAATAACAAGATTCTTTCAGTCGAATTATATATTTATTTGCTTACAATTCACTGCAATGCTTGTCATTACCATCGAGTTTGAATTTTTATCACGTTTGAACTTTGCATAAAATAACTAGGAAACAAAATGGTCATTTTACCGATTTCTCATTTAATGATTTACCACCTTACAAATTTGTGCAGATTTAATATTAATAAATTAGAACGTACTATGAATATTGTATAATAAATGTATTTACAATGCAGTGAAGTGTATTCTAAGATATTAATATAAAATGATTGAATTATGAATCCGGCGTTGTATAATATTTTGCTATAATTAAGTTTAATTTATGTCCTATAATTTTTATGAATTCGAAATTTTGAAAAAAGATTCAGTGAAAAGTAATTCTTATTATTAAAATATGTGATTTAGTAGATTATAAATATGTTCAGAACATTGTATTTTCTATAATAAAATCGTATCATATTAGAAAATTAGATTATGCTAGTTGCAAAATGATTGTAAAGATCAATGAAATCAAATGCATTACAAACTAGTTTCTATCAGACGCAAATGGATTTTAAGTACTTTAACATGCAGTTATATATATACATATTACAATTGTTTTTTGGGACTTATAAGCAACTTGTCATGAATGAGGTAATTCAATAGTTGAAATTTCTATCTCTATTGAACATAGTTTTATATTCCATGAGATACGAATTCACTTGACTAAATTGCAACAATACAAATAATAATTTCAAAAAAGTTTAAGAGGAATTAATATTACAGTCTATACAAAAACAATTATTACTATATCAAAGAGATATATAAATTGTGTAAAATCGTTGAAAATTAATACATACTACAGATTGCGATGATATTTTAAACTGTTAGTTTGCAGAATCAATTATACCATTAATTTATTCAATAGTTTGATATATTTTATATACCATATGATATGAAAAAATAAATTAACACTAAACCCATCGAGCAAAATAAAAACTATTGCATAAATCTTCGATGCAAGATTTTGGATATTGTTGTGAAGTATGTGTCGAGTTTTACTTCGAATTGATATTTATTTATCAATTTTATGTTTTTTAAAAAAAATAGATTTAATCTATTATATTATAATTCATTACGGTAGCTCGATTATCCAAATGTATGTTATTAGATTTAGTGTTAATCAGTATCTCAGTTTTTCGTAGTAGTATATTGATTCCTTTGAAACAAACAGTATTAACATAATTAATATTTATATATATTTATAGAAAGTATAACAATAAATAACTTATAATAGAAATAAGTAATTAACAAGAGTTTAATATAAAAAACCTTTTTATATTGAATATCTAGAACTTTAAAGTTCTTTATGTGTAATTTATGACAAAACACCTAAAATTTAGTGCTTTACACTGATGTTAGGTAATTGTCTGATATATAATATATATGACGCAAGCTTCATAAAAGAATCGTCCACATGCTAGGTAAAATAAATCAAAATTCAATCAGTAGTCAATTTTAACACTATATTATATTTTCAAAAAACTGTATATATCTTCTGTCATCAAAGGCATTGCAAGAGTACGCGCCCGAAATCATTTGTATCTGGCTTCATATGCGAATAATTAGTATTAATAGTGTCTATAATTTTCAATTACACGTTAAAATCTCAAAACGTTTTTTTTTTTACAATAGCCAAAATGCTTCTGATCGCTTTCATGCTAATTTTTCGACCTGGATCAGAGGCAAGTCTGATTCTCGACAAAGGATCACTTACGGCTTAGTTTGGCTAAAACACCCTGTGATTAAATGATTCAATTTTTTAAGTTTCATTATTAAAAAGCCGCGGCATTTTAATCCCAAATATGCATAAAATAAAAACGCATTGGCAGCGGATCTATAAGTCATTTGTTTCGATAACTACATTGATTCGACCTGAAATATTTTACGAGTAAACATTTCAAAGATATATTTGTCTATTTTTAAAGGATGTTATAATTTTCTGGGTTAGGCCAAGAACACTCCAAGTCGATTCACAGAATGACTTGAGTTCG